GTGGAGGATGAAAGTGTAGGTAAGGTGGTTGGATGTGCTTCCGTCTGGATCATCCTCTCGAGTGGTGTGTCTAGAAGGGCCGGGCGATGGTGTTGCAGTAAGAGGTTCATCGTTGTTTGCAGATCCTCTGGGGTCATCTGGCTCTCCGCGAGGAATTGTTCCTTGTTCGGTTTTGTTTCGAGCAGTACCGTCAGGACGTCGTTTAGGTTGTCGACTGTGTAAGTCATCAGTGGCTCTTTTACGCTTCCTCCTTGTATCACCATCGTGGAGGGTGTCGCCTTGAAGATGTGGATGAATGTTGATATTATGTATTGGCGAAGATGTCTGCTCGATGTGTTGGTCAGAAAGAGATACTGAGTTTCCTCTGGAGATGGAATCTCGAAGAGTTGGACGTGAGAGGTCAAGCGGGCTAGGGGTTCGGGGGCAGATAGGAGTTGGTGATGTTCGTTCAGGAAGTCGCTGAACTGTCGGAGAATTTCGGGGGGTGTTGGTTGCGGGCAGGTTGAGAAGCGAATGTATCTCCTCGGAGGCAGACGTACGGTTGAACCCGTCGGGGTGGTGAAGGATGGCCAGTCTTGTTTCATCTTGGCCTGATGTGTCCATTGAAGTTGGGACTTACCCCAGGAGAGCCGTTGTGATTGGAAGTATCAGATGGTATAAGCGTCTTGTTCGTGCTCCTCGGGGAAGCCAAACGTGTTGCCAGCGATAATCTGGTTGTATACGTATGTAGCGCAGTCCGATGAATTGGGGCACTGAGCGTAGAGTTGCCAGCACAAGCCACAACAGCAGACTGCACGGAAATGCTTGCAGGCAGAGTGATAAGACATGTTGTGTGTGGAGGAGAGATTTATGGATATATAAAGGGGAACGTTATCGCGAAAAGAAAAAGCAAAGAAAATATCACCATCGGAACATCGTAAAGATGGTGATAGGAGGATATCAACTCAAAACTGCAGTCCTAAGTGTCTCACATCTTTTTATCACATCCACGCGCCAATAGTTTTCGTGCCCTATCGTATCGGAGCACAGTTTTATGTTGAGTTGTTTATTACCCTTTGTTCTTTGTGACCTTGACTCCTTGGGATGGTGATAGGAGGAAGACAAGAAATACTCTGTCATTGAAATTCAGTGAATTTGTTGGTTACTAACCAACCAACGACAGAGTATTGGTAGTAATGGACCGTCTGCATTACTCAACTCTTTAGCTAAAAGGTTTCATTTATATTTGGTCTTAATGATGACTTTTTACATTTAGTTTCTCTCATACTTCTTAATACAATTTCATATTAGTTTCTCTACAGTATTACGTATATGGTTAACAATAGACTTAAAATATTCGGATATTCACTACTTTTATGCAATTATTGCTCTTAGTACATTTCCTTATTACATCTAGTATATTTCCTCATTACATTTTCTCCGGGATTCCACATTACAGGGAATGATTTATATGCCTCTATGAGCCCCAAAATATCTTCTTCTGACCACTCCGTGTTTGAGGCGTGCGCGCTTCACGAGACAAATAGCAACCGAACCCGACCACACTGCGGCAACGAATCCCTTTGTGTTCGTCAGAAAAACCAACAGGAACCGGATCCCTGCGCGGCATTTGAGGCGTGCGCTGCGCGTGTTCAAAGTCACGTACACACGAGCGAATAAGTCGCGAATCCCGTTCGATCTATGTTGCATTACAGCAGCGGCGCGCTCATGTATTCCCACCGTAACACGAACGGTCGCGTGAAATCCGGGTACTGAAGCAACGGTTCTGTTATCAATAATTCCTTCAAAGTATTGAAAGCTTTATCCGTTTTGTCGTAGGGCGTATTCTTTTTTCAGTAATTCTGTCAGTGGTTTAACTATTCTGCTAAAATTTGGCAAAAACCGTCTGTAGCTTTTTAGCGTCCGTGTGCATGTGGGAACTGGGAAATTCCTGACAGCTTCTACGTTTTTCTCATCAGATCGAACACCGTCTTTAGTTATGACGTGTTATAAGAATGCTACTTGCTTTCGTAAAAATTCACACTTATTTGGCCGCTGTTTTAGATTATGTGTTCTCATCCTGCCCAAAACTTCTCTTAGGCCACGGCCACACGAGCTCTCGTGAACCGG